ACACAACCACGATATGAGTAGACAAATGTTGCTTTTTCTCTCTTCCTCATATCAATGTTCCTACTTAGAACATACAGCTTACAGCATACTTACAGTACATACAGCTTACAGCATACTTACAGCAGCCACCCCAGGGTAGACTGAAAGTAGTGGCTATATTAGGTGTTATTTCACTCGAATGACATGCTGGTTTTGTCAGATAACTGAATCCAGTACAGAGGACTTCACGGGAAGTCTGTCAAATGATGAAAATAAAAATGATGAAAATAAATGACACGTAACAACTAAGCTACCGGGCGAAGGAATATATACACCACTGACTGATAGTGGCAAATGTGAAACTGTCGAGAAATGGTTATTCGATTGTAATGTATTTGAAACGAGCATGTTAGTTGGGTTTTTTAACCTTTAGTTTGCATAGTTCATAGTTGTGTTTTGAACCTTTAGTTTGTAGAGTTCATAATTGTGTTTTGAACCTTTAGTTTGTAGAGTTCATAATTGTGTTTTGAAACTTTAGTTTGCAGAGTTCATAGTTGTATTTTGAGCCTGTAGTTTGCAGAGTTCATAGTTGTGTTTTGAACCTTTAGTTTGCATAGTTCATAGTTGTGTTTTGAACCTTTAGTTTGCAGAGTTCATAGTTGTGTTTTGAACCTTTAGTTTGCAGAGTTCATAGTTGTGTTTTGAACCTTTAGTTTGCAGAGTTCATAGTTGTATTTTGAACCTTTAGTTTGCAGAGTTCATAGTTGTGTTTTGAACCTTTAGTTTGCATAGTTCATAGTTGTGTTTTGAACCTTTAGTTTGCATAGTTCATAGTTGTGTTTTGAACCTTTAGTTTGCTTAGTTCATAGTTGTGTTTTGAACCTTTAGTTTGCAGAGTTCATAGTTGTGTTTTGAACCTTTAGTTTGCAGAGTTCATAGTTGTGTTTTGAACCTTTAGTTTGCATAGTTCATAGTTGTGTTGTATTTTTGAACCTTTAGTTTGCAAGTTCATAGTTGTGTTGTTTTTGAACCTTTAGTTTGCATAGTTCATAGTTGTGTTTTGAACCTTTAGTTTGCAGAGTTCATAGTTGTGTTTTGAACCTTTAGTTTGCAGAGTTCATAGTTGTGTTTTGAACCTTTAGTTTGCAGAGTTTTGAGCCTGTAGTTTGCAGAGTTGTTGTTTTTGAGCCTGTAGTTTGCAGAGTTCATAGTTGTGTTTTGAACCTTTAGTTTTCATAGTTCATAGTTGTGTTTTGAACCTTTAGTTTGCATAGTTCATAGTTGTGTTTTGAACCTTTAGTTTGCAGAGTTCATAGTTGTGTTTTGAACCTTTAGTTTGCAGAGTTCATAGTTGTGTTTTGAACCTTCGGTTTGCATAGTTCATAGTTGTGTTTTGAACCTTTAGTTTTCATAGTTCATAGTTGTGTTTTGAACCTTTAGTTTTCATAGTTCATAGTTGTGTTTTGAACCTTTAGTTTGCAGAGTTCATAGTTGTATTTTGAACCTTTAGTTTGCTGAGTTCATAGTTGTGTTTTGAACCTTCGGTTTGCATAGTTCATAGTTGTGTTTTGAACCTTTAGTTTGCAGTGTTTCGGCAACTGTTTCCAGCCTATTTATGCTTTGATAAAGTTTGTAATGTTTTGGTCGAATCCAGTTTTAAAGTTTATACTTTCTTTTGGCTTTATTTTTATATACAAACACATTTCGTGAAATTGACGTCAACGTCAGGCAGGTTACACGTGTGATGTAACGAAATATACATCGTTGTCAATTTCACATCACGTACGAATGACACGGGGTTGGTGCGTGCATATATGTCTCTCGATCACGTGACAATCGGTTAATAGTAAACAACTCATAAACCTATATAAACAATCAACAATCTCCATCTTTGACTAATGGCTTAAGATAATGGCATGTTTCGAAAGAAAAAAACATGTTTCTATCTAACCCTACGATCTGGGTGAACGAGTTTTCCACGTTCAGCAGTCTCAGATGTTAATGGTCATGTTGAAGCAGGATCGTGATGTACTGCGTTTTGTGTGTGTCACTCGTCTCTTGTCTATTTCAGTAATTCTATAGGGGTCGATCTTGAGGTGAATCTTGTTGTGTACGTTGCCTGAAGATACAACATTTGTCAACACGGTCCGCTGTACTTCCACTTTTTTCACAAAGATGAATGATAATAAGGCAGAAATAATTTTAGAAGGTGGTGTTAAAAATGTCTGTAAGTTTATTTGGTGACTGAAAAATATATATGGGGGCGTTCAACAAATCACTGTTTTACTGTTTTATTATGACTGAGTGGGTTTCACTAGACGTTCTGAAATATTTCAGCTGTTTCTCACTATATATACTTCCCATTAAAAGTTTAGATTCACTTAAAGCACTCACTATATGTTACGTATATTATATATGGTTACATCGGAGATTGATTTCTCCACTAACTTGGGGGATCCAACTGCAAACTTTATGCAGATGAATTGCACGAGGATCATGCATCAATTTGCTGGAAAGCATGTGCAAATATCGTGCATGTGAACAGCTGCGTTTTGGTGTAAAGTTTTGTTAAGAATACGCCAATTTTCACTGATTTTTATCATATATTATACTCATGACAATAATCTTTTCAACGTTACGAATTTGTTTTACAATACATCAGTTCATGTGTGTAAACGGTACCTTTCAAGAGTATGGAATAGTTTACAAAATTTAGTTTAGAACAGTTGCCTGAAGTAAGTGGCTATATTTACTCTAGTGAGTCTAAACTTTTGATGGGAAGAATATGATGAACATTATTGCCTTCACCACCAAGCAAGGTCCTAACGGTCAGCTATCCTTATCTGTCACTGAAGACAGCGATGTTAGTACCCGGTCTATGGAACCCTCTCACTAGTCAACATAGTCTTAACAACGTATCATTTTCTGGAGACATTCACATTTGTAGAATCTTTCATATATCGGTGACACTTTATATACATATAATGTTATATCACCGGAAGTAAGAATTGGTGTGAATTGGGCTCTACAAATGAATCATCATCGCCATCAGCATCTTTATTGTTGGTATCATTATTGTTGTTGTCGTTGTCGTGGTCGTCATCATCTTCAGTATTACTATCATCGTTATTGTCGTGGTGGTGGTTATCATCATCATCGTCATCATCATCACTGCGTCTTTGCCCGGAGGGCGGAAGGTCGGTGGTTCAGTGCTCTGACTGTATCAAAAGACGTTATAGGATTGTACGCCTAGGAAGGCAATTGAATGGTGGGCACCTTTTGTAACCAGGAATCGACAGATCAGAGCCGTTAAAACACCCATCCTCTACGTTAACACCGAGAACCGTGACAGCATATATCTTTAACCGAAAAAACTTATTTAAACACATGGTACTTGTTGTTCACCTGTCTGGCACTACGCATTAAGAGCATTTAACAAGGACTGGTCGGCTCGGAGTCAGTAATAGGTGTCTGAGTGGGATATCAATGTTAAAGTGCGGCCTGGTGGTATATCAGTGGGCTAGGTCCATAAACCCGACATTAGTCCGGACCAAGTTCAGCCAGCCACGCGGCGTATGGCATCACGCAACCAGGTCTCATGGTCGAGTTCCCTCTCACCACACCAGTGGGATGTGTGGGACCTATTAACACCAGGGTCATAAGGGGTAGAACCGAATGAAACTAGGGGCATAACTGATATATATTATATATACCTGCCAGTGCGAATATAATTGACATAAATTAGCAATGGAAGTAAGTAATTCTGAAATATGACTACCATAAAGGAGCAGACAGGTTATAAGCAATTGAGTGACTCTTGTATAGAGTATAATTGTACCACCAGTCATGGATCGCTACCAGCTAATTGCATACTTTAGACCTTATAAGACGACAGCTAAGTACTGAAAAAGTACTTGTCAGTATTTTGGTACATAATGTCTGCAAGATACTATATATTGTTAGGTGACAGGTCTCATTAAAAGGTAAACATTTAATTCACATGTCACACACACGCACGCACGCACGCACGTACACACTGTAATAGTCGGAATAATTATCTTCTTTTAAGCTTCGATTGATAACATACTTACCGTTGTGATGCAATGGCAAGCTTGAACATAATATCCTTTCTTCTCCGTTTGTCTAATCGAGGAATAACATTTTTATTTTGTATCACAATTCTATTATTTTTCTTTTTACTAAAATGTAATTTTAACTAATTTATAGTTCAATGTTCAAATTCGTGTCTACTGTAATGGAATTCCACTTTTTAATGTTTTAGACAAATCAGCCTTTTTCGAAAATCGAAAGGCAGTTTCTTTAACTCTCCGATGAAACAGTCAGACCTGCATAAATTCAAGCAAATAAAAGGCACTATGCAAGAATAATTGCATTTCCTCGATAACAGTTATCAATTAAGAATGCTATTTCACCATATAATTCTAAAGTGAATGTTGCTTCTTCATTTAATCGATATGAGTCCTGCAGTTTTATCAGGTTTAAACAAGCTTCGGGAACAAATTACACAGACAGTGGTTTCAAGTGTCGTATTGTGATAGCGATGTCACAATTACAGCAGTACAGGTTCTGGCAAACATTAAATAGTATGGCATTTCATGATAGAAATTTAAAATGCATATTTATATCATATTCACTTTGTATGCATTTGTGTCTTAAAGTTTCTATATTTGCATTGTTAGAATTAATGCAATATATATTTTTTAAAGTCTTTGGAGAGTCTAAATTGCTTCAGTTTGAATATGAACAGATACTCTTGGCTTCTTTCGGATATTCATCAAAAGACAATTAAACCAAAAATATCTTTAAATATTTTCATTTTATAGATTAAATGTGAATCTATGTTTTCCCAGGATTAATTTCTAATATGTTGGTGTGATATTTTTCCTATATTTTTGTTCTAGCGTTACAGACGTGTATTGATAAATTATATGACTTGTATAACACATCAGATTCCCATTTAAGCATGATGTCTTTATTCGATTTTCTCATAAATTTTCCAGACACTCTCTTCCGGTCGTGGACAGTTCCCCATCTCTCAAAATTCCTCACCACAATTGTCAACGCCACAACACCGATTTTGAATCGATACCAGCGCCATGCAGCGGCAAAGTTGCCCCTGTAACGAAAAATACAGGTGATATTAACAGGTGAGTTGTCTAAGTGTAATTAGTAAAAGTAAATGGTAATGTAGATTGTTCATACTGTGTGTTAACACGCAAATGATGTTGTAATGGAGTTGTTAATTGCTGTCACCGCGAGCGCTGTCACGTCAGTTACGTGTAGTTACTCGGTGAAATAGACAAGGCGGTTTGATTGATGGCTGATATTGATTACTGTGGCTATCTTCGGGAGTGATAAAGGAAGTAGGCTGACCACTAGAGATACGGCCACACCAGCAGGACATTCGGACTGACCAATACATATGTTGCAGCTTCCAATAGGGGTTCGGGGCGGTGGGGCAGCCTAGTGGTTAAAGCGTTCGCTCGTCACGCCGAAGACCCGGGTTCGATTCCCCACAGGGGCAAAATGTGTGAAGCCCATTTCTGGTGTCGCCCGCCGTGATATTGCTGGAATATTGCTAAAAGCGGCGTAAAATCAAACTCACTCACTCACTCCAATAGGGGTTCGTTATAAACAATAACAACTACGGTGTATATAACACGGAGGTTTGAAATGGACTGATATAGTTGTAACTATTTGTTACATAATTCGATATGCCACAATGTAAGTGACTTGGCCTGCATTTAACGCTTACATAGAGTGAGAAAGAGTTTTATTTGCAGTCTCTGTGAGTGAGTTTAGTTTTACGCCGCACTCAGCAATATTCCAGCTATATGGCGGCGGTCTGTAAATACTCGAGTCTGAACCAGACAATCCAGTGATCAACAGCGTGAGCATCGATCTGCGCATTTTGGATACGATGAGACGTGTCAACCAAGCCAGCGAGCCCCTGACCACCCGATCCCGTTAGTCGCCTCTTACGACAAGCATGGGCGATAGATAGATAGATGTTTATTTACGTCTCGCCTCAACATGGTACAAAACGCTAAGTACATAAACGCAATATCACCGTAAAAGTTGAGCCATTCCATATGGAATTATGAGAGACACTTGAGCTAAAAAAGCTATATATAATAGAGGCTATAATATGTGAATATTACAAATACAACAAAAAAAGAGTACCATTTACATTAAGAAGATATATACAAATTTGCAGTGCGCTTTTAAGAATATTAAGGCAGGTTTTGGCGGATAAACACCATACATCTGGACAAGATGGAATAAAACTAACTTTTAAGCATGGGTTATTGAAGGCTCATTCTAACCCGGACCTTCACGCACGGGTAGCAGTCTCTGTGTATCTAAGGAGATTGCGTACTGTTATTTAGTAGTAGGGTTGATTAGGATATATCTTTGGGGGTTTTATTTGTTTGTTTGGGTTTTGTTTTGTTTTTTTGGGGGTGGGTGTTGTTTTGCTTTGTTTATTTTATTTTATTTTTTTTATTTTTTTATTTATTTATTGGGGTTGAGGGTTGTTGCTTATTATTTATTTTTATTTTTTATGGGGGTTGTTGTTTTGGGAGGTGGGGGCGTGGTTTGCGAACAAACAATCACGATAGACCGTTGAAACCTATGCTACTAATATAGTGCAATGTACTATAGACTCACAATTGCTTGACTTGACAGTCGGAACATTACGGTCGAGAAACCGGTCAGCAGTGCAGCCCTGGGGTGGTATAGACACATCATGCGATGAAATTAACACCTCTCAGCAAATGTCCATTACCAAGCAACCGCGTTGAAATAAACAAGCTCACTCAGAAACGTCTTGGCAAATATCACAACCCCTAGGTTTTGACATTATATAAGTGAATCATTACAGTGTAATGTGTCTGTCATTTTTACACAGAGATGTCATAGGGTAAGATTCCCTTGGAGAATACAGCCATGAACCTCCGTATATAAATGTATATTTCAAAGCTGCTGAAATTAACCAGCGAAATGGATATGTATCTCTAGAGACGCCTATCTCTAATATCGCGTGTCTGTGACGTCTGTTCCGCCAAATAACGATTGTGTCAGCTTCGTCGTGAATGCATTCATCCTAGTGCAGTGGTTCCATTAGACTAAGGCTTAGTCTCTGAATATATTATAATTTTGATAGTAACAAACAAGCCCATTTATATTGAAAAGGAGCCCTACGGAGACCAGAGATTCAGAACCTGAGGAAATCTAGACTTGCTTTATTTAGGGCTTTAGCACTGCTGAGAGGGTTTGGCAGTAGGGAAATTAATGTGGTTCAGGGACTGTGAGACAGACTATGGTTCCATACGCTGCAACTGTCGTGAGATACACCGTCACAGATACAGGTCCTATTGATGTAGTCCACAGTAAGCCTCAGCAACGATTCGGATTGCCCATGCCATTAAGATACCTTTGTATAAACTGGTAGGCATTGGATAAGAAAGGGCTTTGTAACCACAACTCAGCTCTACCATTTTCTAACGTTTTGGCATAGGAGACAAGGATATCACTGGGAATATCTCTGTTCACAGAGTAATCGATATATCGCGATACCTTTTCATCAATCGATTCAAATTCATTTAAGCAGACGTAATAGAACATGTTTCATTTTGTGGAAATGAATGGTATCGTTTTTAAAAAAGAAATTGTTTTTATTTTATTTTTTTGGGCTGCACATTGTCATGTCGGTAGTCTCAAGTTTATTTGATATGTGTTTACTGGTCTCCATCTAAAATCTGATTAGGGCTCCATCTAACAAGGAATGTCGAGTTTTAATGAGGCGTATCGGGAGTTTGTTATCGACATAACTTTTTAATCGCTACCGACCTAACTCACTGGTTTCCAAATTGAGGTTACTGAAACACATACGTCACCACTCACATCTTTCAATCTGTTTCTTCATTCGGCCTTTATCGGAATGGCACGGTGTGGTCACTAATGCCTTGAAACAATGACGATATCGGGAATGACGTCAAACGATTGTAACACACTGTGTCATTGTGCGTCAACTGTGTTGATCGTAGCTCATGATGTCAGCCAGTTGTTTTCCTAGGATAAACTCGATTTTAACATGCCTCCTGGAAATGGAGTTTATATTTCTGAGTACGGTAGATAATACAATCACACCTCAGCCAATACCAACATCTGTTGTTATACAGAGTAAAAAGAAGTTCCAACATTAAAAATGACAAAAATATTACTTTTTCTCAACATTTTGGCACATATCCCAAGAGAGTTCCTTAAATTGACCCGAACTGACTCAAAAAGTTTTCAAAATGTAAAACCCGGTTTCGTGTGAAATTGACGTGAAAAGTGTCAACCATTATACTGATCACTTCTCATCCTGGAAGTGTAATTCCCAGTCTCTTGATACTAAAGATTGATCGTAAACACTAATTCAGCTTTAATCTAATAATTGGTAATCCCCAGCTTCTGGTGACTGATGCTCTGTGTGGGTGATGCTGACAGGTGAGGAGAGGAGGCATTCTACAGGGGAAACGTGTTCCACGTGTGAAACGCAGCTCACTGACACCCTCACTACTGTTGTGTAGTCATCGCGGTGCTTCATTAAAATTGGATATGTGGAGGTCTTATATAAGCAATACAATGACTAAATGTGGACCTTGTCAGGTGTCCTGTATCTTAAATAGCTGGTAGGTCTCTGAGTGCGACTATACCTTGGATATTCCACCACGGATAACACCACGAAATAGCTTCACACTTTGTTCCCATGTGTTGGCTCTTCCGACACCATTTCTCTCAAAGATGCAGGGCAATTTACTTGCGCATTACTGCACTACCAGCAGGGCCCTTCCAATGGTATCTCGTGAACATCCGGGTTAGAATTGGCCTTCAGCAACACAGGCTTGTCGTAAGAGGCGACTAACGGGACCGGGTGGTCAGGCTTGCCGACTTGGTTGGCACATGCCATCGTATGCCAATTCCGTTGATCGATGCTCGTTTTTGATCACTGGATTGTCTGGTCCAGAAACTATCATTTACAGGCCGGCACCATATAGCTGGATTATTGCTGAGTGCAGCGTTAAACAACAAACAAATTAACTTTTAATTGTAACACAGCCTGAGATCTTAGTTTTGGTGGTGTGTTATAAATTCATTTCATACCAACTCATGGCATGTGGCTTGTCTTTGTTTATATACGACCAACTGTGCAGTATTGATCTTGCTGAAGTTTTAAGTTGGTCAGGGGATTTGAGACTGAATTGCGGAAACCTTTTCTCCTTGAGTCTTGTAGTCCTTTGGCGATTCTGCCGCTGGGCGTTCCTAGACACACTTATTATTATAAGTGCTGTGCAGATGACAGCTATGGGTCCCCATGGACTCACAGACCCGGAAGTGCAGGATTTCCCACATACCGCCGCTCCCGGATACACCGATTTACTACCAGCTCTTACAACAATCTCCTGCGTTGATTCAGTTTTCACTGTTAATCCACACTGTCTGCCTGTGTTCCAGATGCATGGTTTACCAAATTTGGTTGCATCAAAATGTTGGTTTTATCGGGGACTTAGAGTAGATTAAATGACTAAAAATGATTTAAACACTAAGATTAAAGATTATAACACAGTGGTGATTAATACCAAAATTAACTATGAAATCGTTTGTCCTGGTTGCAACAGTGCACATATGGTAAAAAAGGAAAGGTGCGACTGTCTACCTTTTTCGAGTACACCAAAATAAATGACTCAAAATACGAAAATTATATTATATTTATTACCAGCTTGAACATATATATGTATGAAAAATCAGACCCATCCCATGCCAATAATTATTGATAAATATTACGTTCGTTGCCGTAAATATTGTAATAGTTGAAAACAGATAATTTATCTGACATTTTATAACTAACTTTCATTCAGGTCGTGTACTTTTTACGTATCATTTGTGGAAGTTAATAACCAACCAACGACATGTATTTTTTGTACATTTAAATATATTATTTAAGATTTTGGTACATTTACTTCATTCATACAATGGGATATTACATATGTTACACGCAAAAAACCCACACACATCCCTGTCCTGAAAATCAAATGGTTGGTTCATAAATCAATCAAATACGGTCACCAGACATATGTCTGCTGGAGCAGACGACACGCGTGCTTGGGGTAGACAAAACAAGCAGACGACACGCGCGCGTGGACTGTCACTGTCGTCTGTCACTGTCGTCTGTTGCATGAAACGTCTGTGTCAGTCAATGAATTGTTTACAACAGTTACGTCGCAGCAATCACGGAGCATCCCCTCCGTTAATCACCCACTGTTCACACCGCACCATCGGTCAACGCCTTTATCCAATTAACATGTGACCGTAAAGAGACAAGCTCGCGGTCAGTGGTCACTGGAGCATTTAACACCTCTGGTCAGGCGACCAGTCATCCGTAACGCTATTGTGTAACAACTGGTGATTACATATTCCAACGAATTACCTACGCCACCACCAGGTCGAGCAGGCATAGTGTTAACCGCAGTCACTCAGTCCTGTTGTGATTACGCCGTTTGGGAACATACAATCTGCGATGTTGTTTTTTAAAACGAGGTGAGTAAAGGATGGTTTATACAGAACTTACATTCTTCAGATTGCTGGGGTGGAGTTTATCACCTTTGTTAAAGTCCCAGCGGCACTGATTACAATGCTACATTCAGGCGTTGGTCATTGTTCGACGTTCATGTTTGGACCTTTTGGAGCAACGTGAGTGCGTAACATCTCAAAACACTTCCGAGTTTAGGAAATGCGTGTTCCATGTCTTATTTCAGCATGCATTGTATAGCCAGTATGAAATGTCGTTTTATTTCCTGTTTAGACTAATTTCTGAAAGTAATAATGCAATAGAGATGAGATTGTGATGAGATCTCGTGATATGTATATAGTCTTGTGAGGAATGTAGACCCAGCATGTAGCTTTATGACCCCATCGTGAATCTTCGGTTCACTCTAAACGGTTACCAGCACATCACAGGTAAGAGAGTAAGGACCGAATGCCGTTACGTTGTACCTGATGTGGAAGTCAAAGTTTTGAATATACTGTATCTGTAGTATCTCAATGCCTGATCTGAAATTCATACGTTTTCTACGTCATGACCTGATCTTCACGGTATATGTGAAGATGTTCGTGATAGTAGATGGTAATTACGATAGTGTATGAGGTACAAATGATGGTGACAGCGACGATGATGTATAGTGGGGACACATCGTCCACCACACTGGTTACTGAAATAGTGAAATTGATGTAGCTATCGGGTGGGGAATGTTCGTTTTACTCATCTCTGCATGTGTGATGATGAAGCATCTGTTGAAATCACTTTGTAATGATGCTGCATATTATGATAATATCGGCGTGAGTTGACGCTGTTATGAGAATACCTGTGTGAGAATGATGATGCACGTTCTCTTTACGTGTGATGATCATTGCAATATTGTGTGGTGCATGTTATGAAATACTCGTGTCATGCATGTTATACATTACCCACACAAATGTGATGGTAATGCATGTTGTGAAATATGTGTGTGATGTTGGTAATGCATGCTGTGAAATATGTGTGTGTGATGTTGGTGATGCATAATGTGAAATGTGTGTGTGTAATGTTGGTGATGTATGTTGTGAAATATGTGTGTGTGTGTGATGTTGGTAATGCATAATGTGAAATATGTATGTGTGTGTGTATGATGTTTGTAAAGCATGTTGTGAAATATGCGTGTGTGATGTTGGTAATGCATAATGTGAAATACATGTAGGTGTGTGTGAGATGTTGGTGATGCACTTTGTGAAATGTGTGTGTGTGTGTGTGTGTGTGTGATAGATGTTGTTGATGCATGTTGCGAAATGTGTGTGTGTGTGATGTTGGTGATTCATAACGTGAAATATGTGTGTGTGATGTTGGTAATGTGAATTGTGAGTGTGTGTGTGTGATGTTAGTGATGCATAATGTGAAATATTTGTGTGTGGTGCTGGTAATGCATAATGTGAAATATGTGTGTGGTGATGTGTGTTGCATGTTTTGAAATATGTGTGTGTGATGTTGGTGATGCCTGTTGTGAAATACTTGTATGAGGTGAAGGTGGCGGTGATGCATACTGTGAAATACTTGTGTGGTTATACTACTTCCAATGATAAGGCTTGTTATAGTGGCACCATGTCTTGTGATGGCAATGATGACGGTTATTGTCAGTTACTTGTCACAAATGGTGCTGACGGAAGACACATTCCTATATTTAACCATAACCAAAGCTACCTCGGCAGGTCAGCACACTGCTGTCACGATTAAGTCAACAGCATCCAGATATCGATTTAGCTTAGCGAGTCTTACAACTGGTCAGCTATTGATATCACACTGAAGGTGAAATTGGTCAGCCCACATAGTGAACACACGCATATTTACTCATTGCGTATGTACACTAACTAGCCAGTTAGCTGACATAGAAAAGATTTCTTTACATTGCCATATTGGTAGTATCGATGCGGAACGTAGGAGGAATATTTGTTCCAAACAGATCTTGCTTGATTATTATATCATACAGTTTCGCAACATCTGCCTAACTGATAGCCCTCTGGGTATATATGCTATGTGTTAGTAGCTTGGTGAATATGTTACAGAATTATTTTGTGGAAGTGTTGGCAGTGATTCTGTATTGCTGAAAACTATTCACTACAGCCACACTGATATATGTGTATGGCATGATGTATGAGGCTGAGCAGAGGTTGTATACTGAAACAGGAAATGTTTTAGGCCGTGATTATTTCACCTCCTATGCAAACTATGCCCATATAGATTAATGTGATATCATAGTGCAGATAAGACATTGATAATTCCGAGCCACTGGAGGACGGGTTAATCTCAAAACCCGGAAGTACGTCAAAGATGACAGAGAGTGGTATGACCACAGACTGCTGAAATATGCACCGTTTCCCGTCGGCAGGAACACAATGCACCAGATGTATGGCCAATTATCCCGCCCGGCTATATAAATGCCGGCCTTATTTTTACATTCACGACAGGACATCCTGTTAACATTTCACAGATTTTTGTTAAACCTATACACCAGTACACGCGGACGCTTGATAAGAGTACCTTTAAGAAGTACATTGAAGTACATATATCTCTATAATTTGAGACTTTCGCTGTATCGGGCCGACACAGAAGTGTATTAGTATTCAGAAAAGTGAAAATAGCTGCTAATTCCGATTGCAGTTGCAAAATGGAATCAGTGTCATCAGAGTGAAATATGTTCTTAACGTGGGATTTGTCACTCATTAATGGTTGGATATGTCCGGTATTCCATACAGAGCCGCGCAGGTAATAACATCCTCATCATACATGTGGAGTCACCTCACCTGTAATTACATTGCAGGTGACTCATAATTTGTCCACGTCAAATGTCATGTACATTGCATGGCATTTGTCATCATTAAATTTTGAGAAATAAATGAATAACGATACAAATATTAGCCGAGTAATGAATCAAAACACCACGAAGAGAAGTAAACGTTTATGCAATATTATACGACTAAACTAATATTGCCTGAAAATGGAAATTAATCGCAGTTAAGAAGTAGATTCAGTATTTCTGAGATTCCATTACTAAAAACTTCCTATGTTAAGTAAGGATTCATATAATCGCATTAATAGAATCATCTTGGCCCATCGATCATTTCCAATATGTTCAATAATCTAATCTGTATCGCATGCAATATTTAATTTCATCATCCTTGCTTTAGACAGTTTATAGACATGTACGCAAAAAGGCAAAAGTTAATTATCTCCAAGACTGCAGTGCTCCCATCTCCTAAAATAACCCAAGCTTGGCACATTATCTACACTGGAAAGGTGAGAGATGCGGAGAGAATGTGCGCGTGGCCTGTGCAGTAGCCGACAGTAGAGGGGGCAGACAGGAGGGACTCAGAACGCTGGAGAGGATTAACTGGATTAACTTAGGATTAATGGTTTTCGAGACGGGATTATTTTAAGATCTCATGTGTAATCTGGATGTTTCGCAGTCTGACGAAACAGTGTGGTTTATCTGTATGCGTAGACGGAAGCGATGTATGCTGGATAAAAAGAGTTAATTGGAATGTGTATATTTCCTCAATACACATAGTACACGTGACACACGTGTGTAAAACATAGGACTGGTTAAGCTTCAAGATGACGACGTTATTTTCTTCCCTTTTCGACTCTGACTGGGATCTCTCTTCTTTGCTTTCCAGTATGTACATTGCCAATCGAACTTTGTCGGCACTGGACACGGACGATTTCGGCTCGTTTTCAAGCCTGGACAAGCTGACCCCCCCTCGAGCCAGACCCCTCACCCCAGTGGACATGTGTCAGGGGTACACAGTCCCCATCGTCTACAAGGACGAAACATGGGAGGAGATAGAGAGAAAGAAGAAGGCTGCCAATGCGTGTGGGAGCAGCTCAACCCTAAGTAGCGAGCTTCCATGGAAAGAGAGAAAAAGTAGGATAGACAATGCGTTGTCATGGTTACGGACGGAACTGGTAAGTACATCAGTATGCTAGACACGCAACTCGCTATTCTCCATTGCATCACTGCCCATATGACTAATGCACGCTACATTTTCCACATGTTGTCCATCTGTGTTTACATAATGACAGCTAATACATTTGTATTTCTATACAAGAAACTATCCCCTGTATTTATTATTCAGTGGATGTGTACTATGTTACGGTAGTCTTAGATCTCTTTCATATTACCGTAGATTCCCCATTAAGAAAGTTACATATAGAACTATAACACGTTCATGCAGAATCATACTCAAATCAAAACACGTTCCAGTTCCACATTACATTTCCCTTTGAATGCATCTGACGATATAGTGCTTATAGAAGCGTAAATCACAAGGTTAAATACCCATGAAGACTTACGGGTCAACGTTCTCACACAGTGTGACATTCCACACAATCTTAGACCCAGTCACGGATATAGCCATGTATAATATGATTGGATTATTGACTTAAACGTTCGATTATTGACCTAGGTATTAGATCTGTAGTATTTATAGACCCACTTTCATGTCGCTATGAAAAAAATGTTGAATCAATACAATCAGTTATTACCTAGTCGGGAAAATAATCAAAAGGTTACAGAGGACAACTCCGAATTGATATTGCTCTGTGGTGTTGTCAAGTCGACGCTGAATGCATTCCAAATTAACATAAGTCAAGTTAAATGGAACGTGATAAATGGAAAGACATTGGTATCTAGCTGCTAAATACAGCTTCTCACCACGATACCGTGGTCGCATCACTAGACACAGCCGGTGTTGAGCTTCACACCTACCGAAGTTTCTCTGGTCCATAGTTACGTGTTGTTTTGTTATGTCTACGAGCAGCGTTTGTTTCTTATGATCATCCAAGTGAATTAAACACGGTCTGTAGACATACACTAGATATACCTGCTTTCAATATCACTCCATCGTTATGTCCCGTATAATGAGATGAATGTAATTTGTCTACGGCTTATGAAGTTGAACTCGTTTGTTAATGGGAGAATGACTCCGGTTGTGATGGCGATATATATGTGTGTACGTTTGTGAGAGAATCAAATATTGATGAAGATGTCTTACATCGAGATTGAAAAATCTATTGATTGTTCACCTTTACCGACACGCGCTAACAGTCATGTTGCTTCCACCTTTAATGGGTTTACTTTACATTTCCACCTTTAATGGGTTTACTTTACATTTGTACATAAAGTCTAACGTTACAATGATCACATGTAATTTGCGTCCACGTAAAAGACGGTGACGAGATAACCACGGAACGGCCAAGGGCGTCATACGACTCTTGCTCAAGCGTGGTTAAAAATACACCTCAGTAAAGTTTTCCAACGGTTTTATAGCAACCAAGTTGACTCTTTTTTAGTTGAGAACATTTAAAGCATCAGTAACAAATTTATTTCGAAGCAAATCCCTGGGGTTTTTTCAACTACACAATTGTCTTGCCTTTGCACGTGTTTGTGATACACACTAGTTGGCATGATTCGCTCACCTGATATCGTTACTATTTGATTTCATAAACACATGTTCATAGAATAGTCGGAATTCAGAATCGGCTTTGCTTTAGAAGAGATTTGTATGAACACAGAAGGAATTTGGTTGCTTGGTTCATTAAAAAAACCTACATATCAAAGGCTGATCTCCAGTTCACTTGGACGAACATATTTAATATTTAATAACACCCTAGAACAGACAATGTTAAAAAAAGACAATGTTTATTTATTGTATCTTCTTCAACAGCCAAAGTATTTCGTTATTTCAGTTTACGGGATAAACTCCTGATGAATCAGCTTTTCCAGAAAAATCCCCGAAACCTCCTTCCAGGGTATCTTTTTACAAATATTTTTCCTTTCAGTCGCGGAACCCCTGAGTGTACTTACCAGTTACCTTGATACCATAATTGTCCACCTCAACCAAATCACACCCCTACCCAAACACGACCATTGTTAACTAACATTGAGGTGGCTGAGCAGCCATGCTTACACTCTGATGTACGGCGCGACTGTTTAAACTTTGGCAGTAAATATCCCTGGAATGTTCTATTGAGAACACGGAACCAGTTATCTTATCTGGGTAGAGTGTAAATTGCTATGAAAGCCAGATGTATGTTTGATTTATCGAAACATGTAAAGGCGTGCGTTGAATTATACTGTTGCTAAGATGTGTTGCTTACAGAACCAGTTCTTAACCCAGGTAGATATGTTTGTTAACCGTGACAAGTGGATTGTGTTATGAGGCAATGGTAACTAAATGGACACTTATGGCAAATGAAAAAATAGTTTTTATGGTAGACAGGTAAAACATTTCTATTCACAAAAGATTACCAAACCAATTCACAAAATACATAATGCCTCAATGTTTTCAAAGATAAACATTCATAGGCCTTCATGTTTAAATGCGTCTGATATCTTTGGGTTGAAAGTTGAAAGGATACTCTTTTCCAGGAAATCTGGTTAAGTGTTAAAGCTCAAGTTAATTATTATTATCATCATCATGACCATCATCTTCATCATCATCATCATCATCATCTGTTCTGTTAACTTCAAAATATAGACTGTAATCTTCGAACATTATTCGGACGCATGTCCTCTCATCTAGCCTGTTATTCTTTGTACATGCAATGATGAGGGCCGAGATTAGAAACTTGTTCGAAAACGGTTCTACCTCTTTATACTGAAGTGTTTCATGTATTGGAATCCTAACGACATATCCAGTAGACGACCTTGATAATGGAACTTCAAGTGGAGTGCGTGGGCTGCTTCGTCTCGATGGGGATGGGGAGGATGGGGTCACAAGCGTACGTGACTAAACTGTGTCCCAGATGATTGCTACCTCCACGGGGAGCCCTTTATCAGGTTCTAATCTCAGGATTTGGTTACGTTACACCAGGAAGTATTGTCACGTGTTTGCTAAACACAAACTGTTGTTTAGTTATATGGACGTGACGAAACGACGTTTGATTCAAAATATTGTACTCTCTTTAAGGAAATAATTGTAAGAAAGGCGTACAAAAAATCTTTGCAGCGAAATTTATGAATAGGTATTTGTTTTTGTTCTCAAATGGCCATCTTAGAAGCGAAGGATGAGGACTATTTTTATGGATATACAACTTCTTTATTCTGTATAGGCGACGTTTCGACATAGATTCTAATGTCGTTGCCAAGCAAGTGATGACTTCTTGTCTAAGCTACTTAGTCTGTTGATGGTTGTGACTGCCACGTCTCCATGTAGACGACGTGTGACTTCTTTGATTGACATTCTTGAAGTTGGGTAGATGAGGACTATTTTTATGGACAACGACATTAGAATCTATGTCGAAACGTCGCCTATACAGAATAAAGAAGTTGTATATCCATAAATAGTCCTCATCCTTCATCTACCCAACTTCTAGAATGCCAATCAAAGAAATCTTAGAAGCGAACAGGATGTCCAATGCTTTTTCAAAGATGAAGGAATGATACTAAATATTCATGCGAGGATGTACTACCATCCCCATTCCTATTCTGGACACCTTGGGTATTTTCAAACGACAAGTCAGTGCATCACAGGGATGGTCAAGAGTAGAAGTTATTATCCATATGTCTTTGTACAAAATCACCCTGAGTGCTACAACTACCGTAAATGTATGTTATAAGTATTGGAGTTGCTCTCACTTCAGAGCTAAGATCGCTTTGTGCAGAGGCACTCTGATGACCAGTATCCCATTGAGCGACGGTTGAACATTGTTCATAGGTTGCTACAGCTGTGCATTCTTCTTGTATGAATTCAAATGTTACCTTTTGCAAACCTTATCAACCCTTCTAGAACAGGTCACACTGATCTTACACGGATTTGGGAGTGGGGCTTCATAATTGGTTGAATTTCGACGCTGTTCTGCAGAACTACATACATGCATTGCTTCAGGCATTAAACCCTGTACTTGTGTTTTGAAGGAGATAATGCATGCTTCTGTTCACTTCAAGATAACCGAGTAGACAAACAAAGCAACATTGTTTATTACTTCAACACTCCTCCATGTTCTATGATACATAGCGGCAGTTGTAATTGTAGTCTACCCTGTGTCTGTCTCACAGTCCCTGAACCACATTATTTTCCCTACAGCCTAGCCTTCCCTGTAGTGCTAAAGCCCTAAACGAAGCAAGTCTAGATTTCCCAGGTTCTGAATCTCTGGCCTCCCTGGGGCTCCTTTTCAATTTAAATGGGCTTGTTTGTTACTATCAAAATTATATATATTCAGAGACTAAGCCTTAGTCTAGTCTACCCTGCACGGCTCTGTTTCGTGAAGAAACCTTAATGCTGGAGGACCGTAAGTCTGCTGAGAAGGTATGACAGTCGTAAAGCTAACATCGCGTCATGGGTACCGCTGAGTTTCTGATATACAAAATAAAGGAAACGTGAATGATGATTCCTTTCAAAGTACCGGTACATAGATCACCAAGTTATGGAAGCTAAACAAAATATTGCGAATATTAGTCATTGCGAATGTGGTATTATGGGGTATCTATTGTTATTGCTGTATCAGAATAGCCCTTCAAACAATCTGCCTGAACATCTGTATGATAAAAGTTACCGCCGTGATCTGTTATGCCCCATTCGATAGGAAATTACGGGTCATTTTCAAGGTCGGGTTGACATTGCCCGACCCATTAAGGGCGTATCCCAGTTCTAGGTTTTCACAAAACAAACATTTGTTAAGTTTTTAAGATGAAATTAAGAGCTGCTGCACAGTGGAAAATGTATTGAATATTTAAAAAGAGTCTTATAGATTTTTTTATCAAACCTTATTCAAATGACTTGCGATTTCCTGTTTACAGAGAGGCGAAGCCCACACGTAATTCGCAAGAAAACATTTAAGCAATAAAATATTCCCTGGGAATTTTCGGGTTATCACAAGTTTGACAAGTTCGCTGTAGGTATTTATTACGTGAAAATCAAATGTGATGTATATTTTATATTTAGATATAAACCCCCTGACAACCT